TCCCCACCTCACCCAGGGGTCTCATCATGCCTTGAGAAAAGTGAAGCCACCAGATTTATTTTTAAAATTAAATGTATTGGGGCAATACTGGCCATCGATTAAAATACCTGCTTTTTATTAAAGGCAAATTTATTAAAATCGGTGATCTAGAAAGGGGACATTTTAAAAATAGGATATCTTGAATATTTTTTGATTATAGTTGATATTCAATATATATTAGTTTCAGGTGTACAACATATTGATTAGACATTTATATAACAGGCAAAGTGATCACCCGGATTAAGTATAGTACCCACCTGACAGCATATATAGCTATTACAATATCACTGACTATATTCCCTATTAAAAATAAAATTTATTTTGAGAGGAGTGTAGATTCACTTGCAGTTGTAAGACATAATGCAGAGAGGCCCAGGTACCCTTTACCAGTTTCTCTTGATGGTAACATCTTGCAAAACTATATTTCACTATCACAACCAGAACAATGACATTGATACAGTCAAGTTACAGAACATTTCCAACACCACAGAACCACTCACGCTTCCCACTTATAGTCACACCTACTTTACTGTCACTCCCCTCCTTAAATCCTGGCAACCATTAGTGAGTTCCCCATTTCTATAATTTTGTCGTTCCAAGAGTGTTATATACAAATGGGATTATAGAGTGCGGAACCTCCTAGGATAGGCTTTTTTTTTTTTTCCAAATAGCATAGTTCTCTGGAGATTCACCCAGGTTGTCAGAGGCATCCTTTTTATTGCTGAGCAGTATTCCATGGTGTGGAGGTACCTAAACTACCTGTTTTTGCATCATTTTCTCCTCCTTTCCCCGTCACAAAAGAGGAAGTGGCTCTCTTCCTATAAAAGGCTCTCTTCCTTTCACATGTTCCCTGGATACCCTAATGGATTCCTCCAAACCACTTCACTTTTTGGCTACCATCTCTGTCTTCCATGCCTGCATGACCCTGATGCTACGATGCCTCCCTCTGAGCCTGACGCCCTTTCAGCTCATATTCTATTTCTCTTGTCCCTTTCACAGCATGACTTCTCAAAAGAGCCATCTACAGACAACCACCAACACATCAGCTACCGCTAATTCTTTCATTACCATTGCTCTTAACCCACCCACACTTCACTACTCTCCTATGGTAACCAGTGACTACCCTGCTAAAGCCAAGGGTGAGTTCTTGTTCTCATACCACTCTCAGATGAAGCCAATCCTTTCTCCTCCAAATATGATTCTCTCTATCTCTGTGATTCCACAGTCCTACTTGGTGTATCTATTTACTATATTTTATAAGCATTTCAAACTTAACACACTAAAGACGAAGTTCATCACCTCCTATCTCTTTATTAAAACCTATTTCTCCTAGTTTTCCTTTAATAAGTGTTATGTTGCCCCTGCCTCTTATGTCAGTGAACTCAGCGGCAACGCCCCAGCAGGGACCATCCTAGTGGCCCCACACCAGCCTTGCATTCCGCTGTGACCATGTTCTGGGGTCTTGCCAAAAGAATGTAAATGGGTAAAAAGTATGAGTCTTTCAGGCTGGGATTTTTAAGAAGTTAAAAATGTTTCTTTTCTCTCTTTCCACTTCCACCAGTTGGAAGTAGAGTATCTTAAGGCCATAAAGAGCAAAATCAGAAGATGAAAGGAGTGTGGGTCCCTCACTCACCAGGGGAAAGAGAGCTGCCAGCAACCCAAAACATTTACATAGGAAAGAAATAAATGACTATTGTGTTAAGACATTGATTTTGGAGGCTTTGCTTGTTATGACATACCATTTTTCCATCGGTATTATTACAAAAGTAAAGAAATCTAGTCAGCATGGGAGGTATTTACAGGCAATATTTACTAAATACCAAGCCCACCTATAAAAACAGTCACATTTTATGTAAATTTGCTTTAATCTGAATTCTTCCAGACTTGCCCGCTAAGCTAGGGAGACTTTTAGCATGAGAAACCTGTTCAACTCTACACAGCATGCAAACCCTATGTCCCCCAGGTTAATTTTAAAGAAAAGGATGTTTTCTGAGGTTGTGTTGTTTTTCCTTTCCCTCTTGAAACAAAACTCACTCTGAAATGCCTTTTTTTTTGTATTTTCAAATCTTATTCCAAACTGATTTCCATAGTCCAAAAGAGAAAAATTTCTCAATTTTCCTCCCAAGACAGAGCACCATAATTCTACTTTATACAGTCAGCAGAGTTGATTCCTTATTATATGCAAGTTACACACACATACATAGATCCCTCTTTGTTTTACATTCCGAACAGCTCAAACGTGTTTTGAAAAATACAACTCTTCCGGAGGAAGAAAAGCCCTCCTTTTCCGACTGTTAGGGCTGCCACATCCGTCCACCACAGCATGGAAGGCCAGACTAGGATTCAGGGCATATTTGCATATCAACAAGCCAGGGCTCTGGAACCTGAGGTTCTGCCTTCATGCTGCAGCTCCCTCGCTGTGAACTGTCAGGTGCATTACCACATGCCCATGCCCAGACTGGAAGGGCCTGAATAATGACTAGAATAATGCTGCCTTCCTCATCAGGGGGCTCCACAGCTCAGTCAATGTTTACAGGATGCTTCCTGGGGCCTATTTAGCATGCTGCAGGCCAGCAAGGCAGAAAGCACCATCAGCTGACAACAACCAAAAATATATGTAAGCAGTGATGGGCACTGTCAACTCTGTGTTTGTTGTTTAAATGCCGGTCCTGCAAAAAAAGGTACTGGTTGCTTTTTCTTTTCATCTAATACCCTTAAGAGATGGATTCAAAACTTTAGTTAAGTAAGAAAATGTCAGAGTTCAACCGGTTTGTATGCATGCTGAGATTGTGGGCTTTTTTCTTTATAGTGCTCTGTCTTTTTTGAAATTTTCCACATTGAACACATATTTATCATTAAAAATAGGAAAATGTAAATATTTATACTGTTAAAGACGTTTAAATAAGAGAGTGAGAGGCTATGATAGACCGACTTATTAGTCCCAATTTTTCCCTCCCCTCTAGTTAGTTGCATTCTACATCTGCATCCTTGCCAAGGTGTCACAGTGGGTGGAGCATGCTTCTACCCCTTGACTCTGGGCTTGGCCATATGACTTGCTTTGGCCAATAGAAAATTAGCAGCTATGATGCCAGCTCTAAACATGCCTGTGCAGGAGGATGTGCACCCGCATGCTCCTGTCTTTTAGCAGGAGAACGTGATGTCCAAGGAAATCAGACACGGAGCAGAGCTGAACCCAAACTGCAATCTAGAACCAATCCCAGCAGAACTCGGGCTAAATCACCCCAAACCCAGCTGACCTGCAGCCACGTGAGCAAAAAACACTTACTGCTGTCTACCACTGAAATTCTGTGGTCATACAGCATTCATGTCACCAACTGATGCACTACCAAGTGCCACACAAAAAAATCAGGAAGAAAAAGTGTGTCATGGACTGAATTGCAGGCTGGAAAAAGGCCGAAGCATTCACCACATGCCCATTTATAACAGGAACCCAGTCAACCATCATCCAGTTTGAGAAAACTCTTCAGCAGGCAGAGGTTGTTTCCCCTTCTCTTATGAAATATAAAATTATTTCACTACAATTACAGTCAATCCTATGAAGCAAAAGCTACTACATGACCATTCAATAATGGGATTTCACATAAAAAATGTAGTGAGGCTCTTTCAATGTTAAAACATATTATTTTACTACATGGTTTTAAATGTTTACGATTACTTTTCATTTTATGTCTATACCATATTATGGTTAACCAATATTCTTTTGCTAGTTATGTAGATGATATGCATTTTTTATTATTATAAATGGTGCTGCTCTAAATATAACTAGAGTTCATTTTCTGCATATATTCATGACTATTTTCCCGGGAATGAAATCTGAGAATTAGATTTGCTGGCTTAACAAATGTATAAATTTTAAGGTTTTTAATATGTATTAATTGCCTAGTTTTAATTTACTTTTGCAAATAAGGGAGTAGGAGACCTACAGATTGAGTCAGCCCCGGATTCCAACTGAGCAAACATTTTCCCACCTAGGATTCACTCCAATTAATCCTGCTGGAATTTACTGAAAACCTCGTGAGTGTTTACTGTGCTAAGAGCAGAGTGATGGTTACCAGCATGGACCCCGGAGCCACAATGCCTGGATTCAAAGCTTGATCTTATGCAATTTACTCAACTGGTTTGGGCCTCAGTGTTGTCATCTACAAAAGGGGGATAGGAGTTCCTCCCTCATAAATGCAAAAGAAGATATATGAAGTCCAATAAGCGTATGGAAAGATGTTTGACCACATTTAGTTGTCAAGAAAATATAAATTAAGACCACAATGTGGTATGACTATCTACCCATTGCAATGGCTAAAATTCAAAAAGACTGGCCACACCACAGGTTGGCAAGGATGCTGAGAAATTAGATCACTTGCCTGTTGTTGTTGGGGATGTAAAATGTCACAGTTTTGGAAGCAGTTTGGCAGTTCCTTATACAGTTCAACATACACCACTGACATTCACAACGTGGATGAATCTTAAAAACATTATACTGAGCCCATGAAGCCAGGGACAAAAGAGCATGGCCTGTGTGACTCCATCCATATGAAATTCTTAAGATACTGTAAATCTAATTTATAGTGACAGAACGCATAGCTATGGTTGCCTGGGGTCAAGGATTGGAGGGTAGGGGGAGGGAATGACTAGGAAGGGGCACAGAGAATATTTCTTGTCTGGGTTTTGGTGGTGGTCTGGCATATAAATTCACCAGAACCCACCCACACATATGGTGAAAATGAGTTTATATTACTGCATGTAAATTATATTTCAGTGAAGCTTCTAATAAGATCCTCAATTTAACTGCTCTCTGGTTTGGACTAGATTTTACCACATGGTCTGCAGAGAGGTAGGACCATTCTTAAGCAGGCTGATGTTTGCACCTGGAACTCCATGGGCACCGTTCAGGACCCTCCAGGGTATAAACAAAATCCCTCCTACACATATCACCGGTGGCTCACCTGTCAGCGCACCTCCCAGGCTCCCCCGCCGCAGCTGTCGTCCATCCTCGCTCAGCTGGCTTTTGAACTTCAGGGACTTTCCAGGGCCCGAGGCCAGGTCCGGGTTGCTGCACTTCCGACATGGCATGGGTGGTGGGGACAGTATGTGGTCAAGCTGCCGAGAGAAGGACAGGGCATCACTCACTGGGGACGCTCCCAACACCACCAGAACGAGAGACCAACCAGCACACCTTCCTCCTTCCTTTTCCTTCTCTAAGTCCTTCCTTCCTGGCCCTGTTTTAATTTGGCCAGTTGAGAGCATTCAGGATTTCACTGTGTGTCTTCCATCTGACAGAGTCTGGCTGGCTCAAAACCTTACTAGCAGGGCTTTTCAAGCGGTGGGTCACAAAGCATTCGTGCAGCGATTCTTCAACTCATGACACATATACTAATTACTAAATTTCTGTGGCACACACACACAAAAATTATTTTTTGCCGATCTGATTTTTTTAAAAGGTATAATTTTAATTCATTCACACCAGACGGCTATTGTGTTGGCTGCTGTGATTTCTTTTTACTTGACAATCTAAGGGGAAAGAGGTCAGTGCCCCCGACTAACTAGTCAGGTATCGCATGTTTTAAATTGCTGCCTTAGTGGATCATGAAAGCAAGTTTAGTAGATTGTGATCAGTATTTTTAACACAACAGAACAGAAATTATCCAGTGAAGGAAGGGGAAGTTTTGTTTCATGACATTTTTTCGTAAGTTACCCATGTATATATGTGTGTCCTGAGTCACTATGTAAAATATGTATCTTTCTGTGGGCCTTGATCCCCCGCCCCCACCAAAATAAAGAATATTGCTCTACAGAGAATCAATAGATTACTAATTTAGTTGTTCCCACAAAAATTCACAAGCTTTTGATGCTCATAGACATAGGGGAGGGAAATTTCTAGCACCACAGCCCATAATGGAAATCAATACATCCCTACATCACTTTATTGCTTTTAAAAGAAAACCTGTCACAAGAATCAGAGAAACCAACATCCCTTCAAGAGACAGCTTTCTACAAGAGTCCCCTGTGTCACAACACTTACTTCAAGATCTGTCCTACTTTTATAAGAAAACCTTTAAAGTTGAATAGGGCCTTATCTCCTTAAATGATCACCTTCAAGTAAGCCTATGTGCATATATATGTGTCTAGGCAGTTACTAAGGACAGAAATATTCATGTGCACATACTATATATCCAGATAGTTATTAAGAAATTTAAAGGAAGTGCAAAAGATATTCATGGAAATTTAAATGGCCACAGAAGAGGGCCAACTTTGTAGAAATTTAAAAATAGAAAAGGGCTGGGTAACAGCACTCAAGACCAGGCATTTTTAGGGGTGTTTGATTGGGATATGTTTTGTTTTCATGATAGAGATAGTCATCTGGTTATAACTGTCTGCACTGTTTTTGATTGATATTATCATGGATATATTTATTGGAGGAATAAATTCAGGAATAAAGTCATCCATTTGCCCATCTATGCACCGCAGCACATTCAAATCCATGGCACACAAAGAAATTTGACCCTGCCTCTGAGTGACTCCTCCCAAGCTAGTTGAGATGGAAGAGACTGTATTGGATCAGCTATTACCAGATGTCAACTCTCCCTCAAGCTCCACTGGAACCGCTGGATTTCAAGCACTTGTCAGTAAGTACAATCTCGAATTCATTGCAAGTCAGTGTTTTACTGTATTTCATCGCCACTTGGGATTTTGTTGAGAGGTATCCAGAAAGCTAGCAGTGTAGCCACTTCAGGATCAAGCCATATCAGGGCAAAGGGATTCCAGGCTGCACTTTTGGAAGGTATTGGTTTGAGGCTGCTGTTCACTGCATGAAGCATCCTACAAGGAGGAATTTCTATCTAGTCTTATACATTTTTGCCCTTAAGCCCCCTGGACAGTGAATTGTAACGAGGGAACCCGGACAGTGATATCAGCTACTAGAAAGAGTAGAGCCCAGTCAGTGGTCCAGACATAACAGGTCATTACACAATGCAGAGGTTCTTTTTGTCTCCTTCTTGGCTCCATTTATATCCTTATCCCAATTTTTTTAAACTATCAATTTTTTTTTAATTTCAGAAGAACTTTTGCAACAATAGAAAAGTTATAAGAGTAATACAATGAACACCCATATTCCCTTTACCAAAGGTGAATTGCTAAGTTTTCCCATATTGATTTAGCTCTCTCATTCTTTTTCTGTCCCTGTCCCAAGCACACAGTTGGATACAGACATTGTAGCTCTTCACTTCTACATACTTAATCATGCCTCTTCTAAGAACAAGGTTGTGCTCTTAAGTGCTCCCTCCCTATACTCTATGCCTCAAATATTTTATCAAAGTAAAGTATAAATACTAGGAAAAATATAAGATTATATCAGATACACTTCATATTAAAAATGTGCTCTTACATGTAGAAAGAAAACTTGCAGCCACAAGGTGGCAATGTGCTATAGACATTCAGCAAAATGTTCCATAATAGCTACTCACCCTGTAAATGCATCAAGAACCCCTCAGAGCAATCAAGCACGTTAAGGTCCATTCTACTCAGTTATTTTCTCTTAATTAATACTTGCAGCAGCATAAAATACAAATATTTATTGTTTAAGGTTCATCAACTTCTGTCACATATTTTTCACCTGACGTTAAAATTTTCAGCTTGCAGAATTACAATGAATGACTCTAGGGAAGATTGTTATATCACAAATTAACAGTGGTGGAAAAACCAGCAGAGAGGGGGAAAAAAGGTAATCCCTAACTAGGAATTATGAGCCTTCCTTACATATTTCCAAAAAAGCCATAAAAAATATGAAACACGTGTAGAAAGAAGAGAAAGAGATCAAGGAGAAAATGTAGAAAAATAAAAAAGAAAATGTTTGCTCACATATATGTTGCCAAAAACTATTAATAAGCCAGCGTTTTTCATCAGAATCACAACCCGGAGAGTGGAGTAGAGTTTTAAATCTGGAAAAACTGAGGCAGTGACCTGTGCGGGCTGCCAATGTTCCAAACACAACACAAGTAGAAAAAACTATAAATATAGTGCAATGTTCCAGGATCCACTTCCTTCTTCACATCCAATCCCTCTCCCAACAGGGCTCTCTCTAAATAGATCATTTTTCCAAATTTGCCGCGTTGTCACTGGCTCTGCTTTTCTTTCTACAGTTTGTCAAAGCTTCTCACAATGGTCTACTGCAGCCTTGCAATTTATTTTTCATTCTTTGTCCTGGTTCAAACACTCAGGATCCCTCTAAAAACGTTCCATCACACCCTAGAGCTTTTAGGTTACATCAAACCTATCGCTTTACACACTGCTCTTTAAATGATTTCCGTTTAATCTTCTTCAACTTTCCCAAAATCTTCATACTATAAGGAGCTCAACTATAAAGACAGAGGTTGTCTTTGAACTTTCGCTGATGTCAAGGACATCCAAGCATGAGATGGTCATTCTTGCTTCAAACACTTCTAATTCCCAGCACTAAGCAGACAGTGGACTCCAAGGCGCCAGACGGACTCCTTGGTTGTGTGCTTCCCTAGCAGGCTTCGAGAAGCCACAAAGTATCCTGGATTGGCGTGCATTCTCCAGAAATGGGTCCTTACCTCACTCGCCAATCGCAAATATTGCTTCGTGGTGTGCTAGATTTGGTCCTAACTTCCTGTGTCAGTTTCCTGTAGTTCCAAGAGCCACAAAACCACTGGAAGAGGCATATTAATAAATTTAGAAGTCAGACTGCTAGGGACCCAACATATCACTTACATGTGAGTGTTACACAACTGCTCTTGCTAGTCATTTATCACAGGAAACATATAAGCATCTTAGAGAAAGAAAGGTACACAGCTACTCTAAGTCTAACGCAGGTTTGGGGGAAGGTTTCTAAAATTATCAGTGCTATAGAAATAATAATCACCAAAATTCAATGTCTACAGTTTTCTACATCTCCACCCACTGTCTTCTGTTTTACAAAGTATCAGGCAAGGAGAAAAAAAAAAAAACACACAGACGAATTCACCGCGATTACACTGTGGCTTCTGCCATCAGTGTGAAGATAAATGAAAAGCAAAGGTACAGGGTTCACGAGACTGGCCCCTATTTTTGTTGAGTATCTCTGCCATCACCACCACCACCATCTCCAACCAGGGTCCAGGGGTTTCTGATTCTATGGCTATTCCCTAGTAAAAGGCACATAGTAATTTTCTTCTTAAAAGGCATGTAGTAATTTTCAATGACTATTGAACCTGCAGCCTTCTTAACTGACAACTTCTCCAACCTCATCTCCAGACACGTTCATGCCCAAGTACATGAGTTCTCTAATTTATCGTTTCTAAATATTAACAACGTTGATATGAGCATAAACATATTTTTAATTTAACTTTTTTCAGAATTTCAGTTTGCATTCAATATTATATTGAATTAGTCTCAGGGGTACAGCATAGTGGTTAGACAGCCATATACTTTACAAAGGGATCCCCTGATACCTCCAGTACCCAACTGGCACCATACACAGTTATTACAAAATTACTGACTTATTTCCTAGGCTGTACTTTACATCCCTGTGACTATTCTGTAACTACCGATTTGTACTTCTCAATCCCTTCACCTTTTTCACCCAGTCTCCCTACCACCCCCATTCCTTCCCTCCTCTCTGGCAAGCTTCTCCAATTTCAATTAATGGGAGCTCCTTTTTTTCTAGCTACACCCATCACAAACCTTACAGTTCTTGGAAATTTCTCTTCTTACTCCATATCCAATCAACAAATCCTCTAACTCAACCTCCAAAATATATCCAGAATCCAATCACTTCTTGCTACCACTCTGTCCTGCCATCAGGGTATCTCTCTTGCAATGGCCTCCACCCTAGTCTCAGCATAGCAGCCAAGGCCCTTGGAGAGCACCAGGCAGAGGTTCCAAATCCTCTGCAGGAGTCCCCCATGGCTTCTCCTTTACCCACAACAAAATGCAAAGCCTTAAACATCAATTGCCTGCCTCCCACATGCTCCCTCCTGGGGATTAAGCTGGGACCCCTGGCATGTGCCTTGACCAAGAATTGGACCAGTGACCTCTTGGAGCATGGGACAACACTCAACCAACTGAGCCACACTGGTTGGGCTCCGAAGTCCTGATGATGCCCTGAAAGTCCTACCTCCCCTACCTCTCTGATCCTCACCCCTACTGTTCCACTCAATCCACATCGGTCTGTTGCCAGACCTCAGATGGTCCAGGCATCTTCCCACCCAGGTCCCATCCACTGATCATTGCCCGGCACACACTCCAGA